GTGCAACCCAAGCCAGAAGTGAGCAGAGCCCTCACCTGGGGTTTCTAGAAGGTCCTGAGCTGTCTGTTCTCCGCGCTGGGGGGTGTCTCCTGAAGGAAGGATTTGGGCTTGCTGCTCGCCACGAACAGAGCAGCTCTTCGTGGAAAGTAACATCCTGATGCCTCCCACACCCCACAGCCGAGCTGCCCTCTCCCCGAGGAGTCAACCACAGCCACATGTGACCTCCGCCCTGGGCCACCACTGGCCTTATTGACGGAGGTTCTGGGTAGTTTCTCTTCTTACTGTTCTCACCTCTTTTACCTGGAGCTGAGTTGTGGCAGGGCTTTTGGGGAGCGAGTCTCGCCCGGGGGTGGCGAGCTTCCAGCCTTCCCCCAGCCAGGCCTGCATGGGTCCGGGCAGCTGCCGTGCGCACCAGGCCTCAGGGCCTCTCCCTCCGAGCCCGCGGGAGGGGGCGCCGCCAGCGGCAGCACTGGCTTTCTGTGTTTCCCTCTTCTCTCTCTCTCAGAAATCTCTCTGGACTAAAGCTCACGGAGGCTTACCAATTTTGGTAACAGAATTTATCTGAAAAAGTTTCACAAGTTAAAAAGTATAGGTGCACTTTCAACGATCAGGCTCAGTAGCACCGTGTGCCGTGCACGTGCTCGATGAGCCGAGCGCTTTTTGTCGTCCTGAGACGTGGGGGGCCTTGCCTCTCAGGGCCCCAGTGTCCTGCCTGTGAAGTGAGTGGCTGCTGCAATCGAGGAGGCTCCGGGTGGCTGCGCCTGCACCCCAAGTGCAAATTTAGACTGAAAATCACCCCTGCTCATTGCTCATCTGAGCTTGCGAGTACCTTCCCCCGCTCTGTGACGAGCCTTTAACTGTTGCCTGTGGGCAGTGCTGGTCCCGATGGTGGCTTTCCAGCTGTTGTCCCCCTTCAATGTTTGCAGTGAAGCTAGGACATGCTGGGAGGTGTGTGCGAAGCTGTGAAGTTGCCGGAGCCCCACTTCTGTCCCTGCCTGGGAGGCTGGAGGGTGTCAGTCTAGCCTGTCTCCTGCTCTCTCCCTGCTGCAGCCTCCGAGCCGTCAGGAGATTCACTAGCGCCACCCAGCAGGGGTCATCCAGGCTCACCTGCAGCACATGGGCACCAGGTGTGTGTAAAGGTCTGCTGGGGAGACAGGATGCTGTGCCCGCCCAGCGTCACTGCCACCGGGTGTGCTTCAGTTCACTTGAGCAGCTCCTGCTCCAGGTCACACACTCACCCTCGTCATCGCCTGCTCTGCCTGTGACATCCTTTTGTACCGGCGCAGTCCCTTCCTCCACCAGCCTTGGGGACTTCCATTCAGGGTGCTCACCGCTCACCCACACCCAAGGCCGCCTGGGCCTTCTCACTGACCACTCCCCGTTCTCTCCCTCCAGCCCACTTGCCTCTCCTGACTTTCGGGTCCCTCCGCCCCGCTGCCTACCACCCTCCCAAGCTCCCTTGTCCCCTGTATTCCCTGTGGGCTGTGACTGCACCACCATCCACCCAGTCACCACCGGCAGAAAGCGGGTGTCGGCCTAAGCACCTCCCTCTTCTTTGGCCCACGTGGAGTGAGTGACCACTTGCTGGAGACCTGACGTCTCCCATCCTCTTCGCCTTTCATCCCGGTGCCCTGCCTCCCTGTGGCGGACGTCCTCACCTTGATCTTCCCTCCCTGTCTGTTCTCCTTGGCCACCAGGATCACTTGTAGAGTGTTTCTGAAGTAGATCCCCTGGCCCTTCCCCTGGAGACTTGATTCTGAATGTCAGGCTCAGGGACCTCCGTGCCTTTAACTCCCAGGCATCCCGCTGGAGCCAGGGCAGAGGACCTTGGTACAGGAGGCAAGTCCAGCCTCCAGCGACAGGGCAGACAGGGGCCTCCACGGCCCCACCCGCCACCCTGACTCTGCTGCCGCTTCCTTCGCCAGCATCTGCTTAGCGCCCCCCGACGGTGCTGGGGAACTGTGTTTTGTTTCCTACGTGCTTTTTGCATGTTAAATTCCTTCTTCTCAGACGCCCTGCGCTCCCCCATCTCTCCACTTTGCCGCTGCCTCTCACCTTCTGACCCAGGCCTCAGAGCTTCCCCAGTTCCCCAGCAGAGTGACCTTCTCGCTCCCAGCTGCCAGCAGACCTGCTCCTAGCAGCCCTGTCACTCCAGGTGGCTCTGTGTGTTGGAAGCCTGTCCCCTCCTAGGCCCTGGGCTCCAGCCCACAGTTCGTTCTTGTCCTCTCTACCCTCGCACCAGGCCTGAAAGTGAGTGTGGTTTTCTCCATGGGTCCAGCGTCTGGAGAGGAATATTTTCTTAGGGGAGAGAAAGTGGCACATGTTTTCCCCAGACCCGCTGTCCCAGCCATACTCGGGTCACGGCGAGTGTGCTCTGCTCTCAGCGCCAGCGTGCGTTGAAGTCCTTGTCCCTCTTTAACAAGGCGCAGTAGCCACAGAGCAGTTAGGCTGTGACCAGGAGTGTCCTGGAAGTGTTCAGATTGCATTTCTTGCTCGATCTCAGCATGTGTGGAGAGGCGGAGGGGTTGCTGCGCTGCAGCTGGAAAGGCCTATGGCTGGTTCTGGTGCCACAGCCGCACCTTCCATGTCCCAGTCTGGAGAAGGTCCCTTTGCAAGCAGCCCTCGTGCATGGGGTTCTCCTGGGAGAAATATGTCCTCTTCCTGAGGAGGCTGGGCCGGAGACGTGTGTGTGGTTCTGCGCTGGGGCGTCTTCCCCTGTCTGCGGCTGCCTCTGCCCCCACAGCATTCGCAGGGACTCCTCAGTCCCCACGAGGGACTCGTTTGAGGAAAGTCCCAACTCTGGGGAGGTCTGGATGGCGTTGAGCTCGGTCACAGCAGCTCGTGGTGGCCGGAATGAAGGAAGGAAATAGAAGGAACAAAACTTTCTTAGCCCATGTAAAATCGCTTACCGCTTGGTCCAGCTGGACAAACTAGATGCGTCACATATAGAGCCACTGGATTTCCATTTATTTGGAACTCAGCAACAGGATTTGGTAGTTGCTGGGCATAGGTAGGGTCCTTGGAGAAAGTCTGTTGAGTTGATTGATTAGATCTGTTTTGCTGACCAGGAAATTCCCATCGGTCCACGGGGGAAACGTGGGCTTAGGGCGGTGCCAGGCCAGGTGTGTTTGTGTCCTGTTTTAGAGCAGATACAGGTTCGCCGCATCACTGAACAGCAGGTTTGGGTTTCCCATGTGCCCCGGCCTCGCGCACAGCCTCCCGTTATCAGCGTGCACTCCAGAGCAGCACCATCGTTACAGTTGAGGGACCTAATGGACAGTCATCATCACCCAGAGTCCCCAGTGACATTAGGGTTCGCTCTTGGCGTTGTACATTTGTGGGTTTGGACAGGCGAGTAATGGCACATATCTGCCATTAGAGCATCACGCAGAGCAGGCTCTCGGCCCTAAACCCTCTGTGCCCTACCTGCCAGGGGAGCCCAGGCTCTCTGCGTGGCGTCTCCTACTGCAGGGCCACCGAGTCCCTCTGTAGACGCAGACCATCAGGGTCCATGAGGCTGGCAGTCTGTGCGGGAGGAGGTGGTGTTCTCAGCACTCACAGGACACCGAGATCGCTCTGGAAGTGGCCGCTGCGCTCAGCGCCCAATGCTGTCCAAGGCCAGCTCTGGTCATGCAGTCAGCAAAGGGCTCCATGGCACTTCCTTTGTGTCAGGGGTCAGCAGAGCCTCAGGCCCCTGGCCTGGCCCGCGGGGACCCGGGACTGGATTTGCAGAGAGCAGCCAGTCTTCCATCTCTAGTAGTCAAAGAATTTCGGGGCCCAGAAGGTTCTACACCTGTGGTTCTGTCTTGTGACTCAGAAGTGCTCTATTGTGGCTGGTTATTGTAAACGTCTACCGCTGCTTAGCTTTCTCTTCAGAGTGTCGATTATGGTACAGATACCGGTCTTATAATCGTAACTGGAGTGTACATGCACAACATAAGAACTCGTGGAGGCCGTAACAGAAGGAGATTAGTGTTGGTTGTAATGACAGCTGGGAGGTTTTGATTGGGCTCTTTGGCGAGCCCCGTGTTCCCTCATGACCGTTCTGGGAAGTAGTAATTCTCTATTATACGGAAGCACTGGGAAGTCAGATGACTTGGCCAAGGTGACCCAGCTAGCCAGAAGCGAGTCAGAATTCACGCTCAGGTCTGTCCGAGTCCAGAGCCACCACCCGTCACCACTGCTGACGACTGCGTTGTGCTAAGGATGGCCTTTCACTTCACAACTGAGATGTTCCTCCTTCTTTCTCTCATTGTTCAGTGTGACGACATCGGGGGTGATGGAGAACATGAAGAAAGTCAAGAAGGTGACCAACGGCTCGGTGGAGCCCCAGGGCGATTGGGAAGGCACCGCATAATGGAGCGCCTGGAGGCTGGCACCGTCACAGACAACGTTTAATTTATTAATAGTCCTATGGGTGAGCAGGAGCAGTTGGCACTCCCAGCAGTGACACCACGGAGCACGTGGCTGGGAGCAAAGTGCCACGGAAGCTTAATTTTTTACTCTTTTATGGAAACTGGATCTGCGGCTGGTCATGGGCAGCTGGCATTCTTTCTCAGGTGGGAATGGTGGGGAGGGAGTGTAGTGAGGAGGAGGATAAAAGGAAGACTTTGCTTCAACTGACATTTCTTTTTTTTAATTGGGAGCTTTTAACGGCATCTGCACTGTGGCCCCACGTGGGTAGCAACATCAGAAGGAATGTCGGCGGGTGGAGTGGGGAGGAGGGCGGAGGTGTGTGTCCGATGCCAGTCACCATATAGGGACCTCCAGAGAAGGAACAGGGAGGGTGTCACTGCATCTTTTGGGCACAAAAACTAATGAAATTAGGTTATTTTAGAAAGCAACGTCAAAACCTAGTTCAGCATGTGCCGCCTCCCCAGGATTCCTGGCCCCAGGCCTTCATCCGAGTTCCTGAAAGTGACCGGGAACCAACAGCTCTGGGAGCCCGGAGGTCTTCTCTCTAAAAGGGCTTTGTCACCGGAGGGCTTTGTCACGTCACTGTCACAGTCTCGGCCCCGGACTCGGCACAGCCTGGCTGGTGCGGGTGGTTCTTTTGATCGAAGGGTGTCTGTGTTGCCTCGTGGATGGACAGAAGTGTATTTTTAAGCTCAGAAAGTATTCTCCTGTAGCGTTTCTCTGACTCCTCAGAACAGCACATTCTCTCATTTCTCTCTCTCCCCGTGTCTCCCGCATACTTGATATGATCAGATTATAGGGGAAAATGGGAAGGAATTTTCCTTAAGAAGCGGCCGGGGTCAGAAAAGGTAGTGTGAAATAAATACTTAGTGCAGGCAAGTCGTCATTGTTAACAGCTGTTCCCGTGAGCCAGACAGGATTTCTAAACAAACAGATGAAACAGACTTCGTCCCTGTGTTCCAGGAGTGGGTATGAGGAAAGCAAGTGTGATTCTACTGCGTTTCACTCTCAGGGCTGAGGGCGGTGGAGTCTAGCAGTGGATTCCTCCCGAACGTGCGAGCTTGGGGGTGAACGCGGGCGCTGTCTGCAGTGAAGTGTCGCAGCTAGGTCGTCTGAAACGTGGAGCTGAGCTCAAGGGGTCCGTGTGAGCGCGGGCATGGGGCCTTCGAGGTGATTCCCGCTCCGAGTGTGGTCACGTGGGCCTGAGACAGCATCCTGGAGCGCAGCCGTGTCGGGAAGGCTTCCTGCTGCCTGCGGTGCCGGTGGCTTCGGTCGCCGCCAGTGCTGGGGTGGCCGGGAGCCTCCTGGTCGTGGGACGGTGGCAGTCTCTACTGGTGGTTTTCTTACCTTCGGCTTGGAAGGGTCGATCAGAAAGCACAGGATTCGGGCCGGTGCTCAGTATCCCAGATTTGGGGATCTGAAGTCTTTACTCGGAAACAATTGTCATCCCCCTCCCGAGCCATTTTTGCTCCGTGAGTGACCCTGGAGGAAGCAGGCGTTCCTTTGCGCACGCGTGTCAGCGCTCTGTGCTCCACCCAGCCCGACCTGCCCGGGGCCTGGCCCCAGCTCAGTGGCCGGCGGGAACATGCACCTGGCCGTCACTGCTGCCTTTTCTCTGCAGGTATTTCAGGTGAGGGTTCAGGGAAGTATACTCTCAGTACTGAGTGAAGGGACCTTTTTCTTTTCTTTTGGACGTAGAGCTTTGTGACGGGCAGAAAGGCACAGGGAATGTTCTTAAGGCGTGTTTTCCGGTGTTTAAACAGTCCCAGTGCTTCAGAAACCTGTCTCGTGCTGTGGCCAGAAGCCCTGAGGGCGCTTCCGTCAGGATGTGTTTGCTCCTGGCCTGCAAGGGGATGCTCTTGACTGGGCCATAACCAAAGTGTGACAAGACCTCCCTCCCAGAAGGGGTCTGCACAGAGGGGCCCCCGCTTCCTGTGCCGGAAGCAGGGACTTGAGTGAGTAAAGGCGTGGGGGAGGACAGGGATGAGGAGGCGAGCATCGCATGCCGACCTGACTGCCTGCCGAGCCGGGCGCTGGCTCCTGCCTCCTCTGGCAGCGCCCCGGCCTCTGCTGGCGCCCAGGGTGTCAGCCAGAGCACTGGTGGTAGTTCAAGTTTGTACGGAGTCGCGTACGCCCTCTATCCTGTTCTGTAAACATTTCTTCCCTCTGTCACCTCGTAGCTGTGACCAACGTGCAGCTCTACCCTTGAGTGAAGGTGACTGAGCAGGGCCCAAAGCTCCGCAGTGTCACCAGCTCGCAGCCCCCTTCCTGCAGCTTGGGTTCATGGTGCCCGGGCCCAGAGTGTGGCGGGACAAGTGAGCCCTTTCAGCATCTCAGGGATCCTGCAGGAAGGATCGGGCGCACGTCACAGAGGCCTCGGTGGCATTTCCATCTTCGCTTTGTGCTCCTGAGCCCCACTGCTGCCCACGTAGAATGCCCGCCCTTCCTCCGGGAACTCGGCCGGGGCCGGAAGTGCTGCTGGCTGTGAAACTGTAGGAAGCGAGGGTCTGTTTTCCTCTCACAAAGTGTGTGTGTTTTGTAGAAAATCACGTCTTGGACCACAAGAACAATCCTCGCTCTCTTAATCCTGGCTCTTCGCAGTGGCCAGAGACGCCATCAGCCTAGTTCTCGGTCCCTCGATGCTCTAAAGTTTAGCAGCGATTCATCTCATACTGCTGCACGCGACTCTGGCGAATCGGTGGCCCGCTCTGCCGGAAGGAGAAGCTCGAACGTAGAAGGTGGTTTCCCAGACCGTAGCCTGAGTCAGTTCGGTTTTCTTTCAGGAAACCACTTTAGAGTAAAATTTCCCTGTGTCTCTTCTGCTCAGCCGTGTCCAGCCTCTCAGTCTCATCCCCTTCACGCGACTGTCAAGGCGGGATTTCTGCCTCGCGTTATGATCTTGTCAGGATCTCTGCTCTCCTGTTCCACGACCTGCCCTCCCCCCACCCTCCGGTCCACAGGCTGAAGGCTTTGGTGCATTGCAGTGTTTTCTCCCAGCAGCCATGTGAAGGGTGCATTTTCTAAGCTAAGGCGAACTTTCTCATAGAGCACATACTAATGCCGTGTGTCATCGCTTCGGACCGCATTTGATGTTCTTTCCCGCACTCAGATCTATGTCTTGTTTTAGTACTTAAGCTTCTACCACAAGGAAGCAGTCTCTATGGACCAAGGAAGAGCATAAAAGATGCCTGTTTTAATTGCAAGTGGCGTTCCGGTCATCTCCCCCACCCTGAAGCTTCTTCTTCGAGGAAGAGCTTAGAACGTCCGGTCTGATGACGTTGTCGGCCCTGCTCCACGCACCCAGTGGGACAGCAGAACCGTCTGTGCTTCCTGCTGCTAAGCTGCTGAGTTTCAGAGGCAGCCTGTGTATCACCCCTACCGATTTCGCGCTCCCCGCCTCCCCCTTTGCTTTTCTCTGACGCCCCCTCGGCCATTTAACAGGTTCACAGCATGCAGAGTCCAGGCTGCCTGTGGCCTGCCGCTTCCTGTCCCTCCAGGGCTCACTGAGTTAATGGCTTCCCCGCTGAAGAAGGTAGATTTCAACTAGGTACCTCTTAGTACGTTAGAATGCATTCGTCTGGAACACACCAGGTTCTGAGACCCGCTCTTTACTCTGCTTTCTCTGGACTGCTTTTGGCAGGAAGGCTTTGAAAGAGATCCCCCTGAATTGATGCTAATTCTTGTCGCCACCTGGAATGTAGTTCTTGGTGGCGAGCTGAACACTCCCAGATTCCCCGGGGGCTTCTTTCATAGCCTGGCTATGCATTTGCACCCTCTCTCACGGTTTGTGCTTGAAAAGTAGATGTTTTTCGACGGCTCACTGTCAGCGCGTGGGACACGCGTGTCCCCTGAGATGCTGTGTGAAGAAAGTACAGAGAGACAGGGACAAGGCGGTGCCAGAGCAAGGATTTGGTCGTGACGCACCAGGGGCCTGTTGGGATTCCGGTGGCAGGAATTCTGCAGCCAGGCCATTTGGGAGGAGGAGGTCTGGACAGTCAGCAGATGTCAGAGCGAAATAGAAACGCTAGCTCACGCCCTGGCCAGTCAGCTTCTTGTGAGGCGGGGTGTGAGGTTTCGTAGTGGGCAGCCGGGTCAGGGGCTCGGCCTGCTTCACGTTTGAGATGCGTGTTAGGGATCTTAAATAAGATCCTTAAGGATCCAAAAGTCCCGTCTGCACGTGGGGGTTCTCGACACCTTGCAGTGTTTGCAGATCATAAATTGGATTTGCTTAGTCATGTGACCTCAAAAGAAGTCAGACACATCTAATCTGGAAGTAAGTTTCACTTGGGGGAGAAAACGTCTGTAAATACCATTTGCTTTCCAGGTTAGATTGGAATGCAGAGGGAGTTTTCAGTATTTTTTTTTTTTTTTAACAATAATGATCACTGAAGAGTATTTATGTAAACATGCAACGATTGGGGGTTCCGATCAGGGTGCTGTACGGTTGGGTTCTCTTGCTGTGATGCAGACATGTAAAATAAAGATTCTATGATGGAAATGTTTGTAATCCTAGGGAGTTACTGGCTCCTGGCTGCCGTCTTTCCTCCACCTCCCTCTCATAATTTTTTTCTTTGTGATTTTTGTTCATTAAATTAGTTAACTGCCTCCCACTGACAATAGTGACACCCACTAGAGAAGTTCCCTGGATCTTAGCAGGTCTGCGGCAGCTGCTATTGAAACTCGAACGTGACTCCCACCCCGGAGGCTGTGTTTTGGAGCAGACTGAACATCGTAGTGTATCGATGGGCGGCCTCCACTGGGGGCAGGGGTGCCTTCGGAATCAGGACCGGGGCGCTGCTGCCATTTGCGGGGAGAGGACAGTGGAGACTTAGGGCAGAGCCCACCCTGGCACAGGCCGACCTTCACCCTCTTGTGACGTCAGCTGTCAGCCCTGAAGGATACCCCCGCCAGAAGTCCGAGGTATCAGGCTCAAAGCGTTTTTAGAAGTCATCCAATCTCAAACCTCGTGTTTCATTAGGAATGTTTCAAGTTGAGGTATAACTTACCTACAGTAAAATTCACCCTTTCAAAGTGTGCAGTTTGGTGACTTTTGACAAATACATCTTTGGTCTGCTGCCTCTGCGGTGACAGGGACAGGACGTTTTCGTCACCCATCAGCTCCCTGGGGCCCTGCTGCACCAGAACTGCCCCACCCACACTGCCGGGCCGCTGCTCCGCTGGCCACGGCCGGCTAGACGGCTCTTCTCGCCCGTCCCGTGAACGGCCCCTGCGGTGCGTCCTGCTCTGTGTCTGGTTTCTTCCACGCAACGTGCTGTTTTGGGGATTGACCCATCCAAAATCCTGGCTTTAAAACTACGAATACTGGGGCCTAGTGAAGGTTGTGCCCCGCTCCCCCACACACACCACCCAGCCAGCTGGTGGGTGTGAGAGCCACAACGAGAACCCAGGTGTTCCGACTCCGACCTGAGGTGCTGGGGACCCAGCCGGGCCTGGCCCAGGCGGCCCAGCAGGGGCTCCCTCTGCTGTGGTGACCGCGATGTAGCTCACGGTCACGCTAGCGCTACCCTCACTTTGCCATACCAGAAGTTGGGAATGGCAGGGGCCTCCAGATCCACATCGTTTGGCCTCTGTCGTCCAGTCGGTGGCTGTGCCTCACCCACAGCCTCGTTCCTGACTCCGGACGCCTTGCGTTACCAAGCGTGACTGGGAGGAAGCACGAGGTGCGGGGTGGGTGTTCTAAGAGTGGGGGGCCCAGGAACCAGGCGAGGCTCACGACGCGAGGTGCCGACAACTCAGGAGGGAGCAGCTGAGAAAGGGCACAGAAAGGGCTTTGGGCACCAGCTAACCCAGTGGATCCCAGACTTAGGCACGCCAGAGGGCCCCGGCTTTCCAGCTCCATGGGTCCCCGTGGGGCCCGAGAAGGTGCAGGGCTAACAGGCTCCCAGGTGATGCTGTGCGAACCACTGACGTGACCGGACCGCCCCCCGCATTGACAACCCAGTCATTCAGCTGGCACCGGAGGAGCACCCACTCTCACTGCTCCCGCCGGACCACAGCCGGCAGCCAGACCGCGCCTGGCACTGGCCCTGCCTGGTGGGGTGGTGGGGTGGCCCCGCCCAGCTGCTCCCCTTGATCAAGCCAGACTGGAGCTTCTCCAGTTAGGGGTGCTGCCGTCCAGGCCCACACCTGAAGGGCAGAGGCCGGAGCCCGCTCCCGGGGCCGGGCTCCGCCTTAGGAAGGCCCGGCTGGGAGTCTGCCCGCTGCCCCCGCTGGTTCTGATGGACCAGCACAGCAGCCAAGTTGGGAGCGGACATCCGACCCGAATATCCTTTGCCGAGAGCAGCCAACTGCCTCCCCGGCCCAGACCCTCCTCAAGTCCGCCCAGCACCCACGTGAGCACCATCACTGTCACAGCCGCCTTCGGGTGTCCTGCTTTTCACCGGGAATCTGTCAGGTGGGCAGAGGGCGAGCTGGCCAGAGCTGGCCGTCGCCTCAGGCTAGGTGACAGTGAGGCTGGGGAGGAGAGAGAGCGCTGACTTCTTCCCGCGGACTTGCGCTGTCCAGGCTCCGGCTGTGGCCCCGGTTCTCCCTGCAAAGCCACAGGCCCAGTGGGGCATCTCTGAGAATCTGTGGGAGCCCCTCCACGCTGGCCATCCCCCCACATAAAGAGAAGCTGCCTCGGCGGTTCAGGGAGTGGGTTCTAGGGGGTCAATGTGACCCTCTCGGGAGCTGTGTCTTATGCCACTTAGGCCCACCTTGCAAAGGAATGCTGACCCTCATCAAAACGAGGACCCTGCCCAGGAAAACGTGCACGAAGCGAGCTCCAGGCTCCTCATCCAACTAAGCATGCAGGTTCGGGGCTCAGAACAGCGCATCTCGCTCGGGGCCCTGGCTCCACGTCACGAGGGTTGACAGCGGTTCTCGGCGTACGCGTGTTCTCGCAGGCCACAATTTAACATCAGTGGCGCGTTTGGCTCACACCCCGTGGTGGGTACGCTGTGGGGAGGAAAGCCAGCCGGGGCGGAGAGCTAGGTCATTTCTTCCCCTCCTTTCCATTTTAACCGGCCTCGACCCAGCAGCAATAAAGCTTGTTCAAGTTTTTGCCCTTAAAAACCAAAACTCTCCCTAGGCTAAGCAGCAGCCCCCTTCCCCACTGACAGGCCACGCCCCTCTAGTCTGCTGCTTTACTTTTGGGTACCCCCAACTTCCTGCAGTCTGGTTTCCACTGGCCAAAGTCACCGACAGCCCTTTGGGGCTTGGTTATTATCCGCCATGACTTCAGCAGCTATTGGCACGGTGGGACTCTTCCCCTCTCTAGACCTCTCTCCCCCTGCTCCCCTGACGTTGCTGCCCCCTCACCGCCATTCTCGTAGCGTTCCCCACCAGCCAGGAGGGATGCCAGGGGTTTGCCTCCCCCCACTCCACCCCTGCCCCGTGGTTCCAGGTTACCCACCTCTCTCTCCACATGGCCACTTTGCCGGCCAGCCACCCTCCCCGGGATGACGTCAGCTGCTCCCTTCCAGCTGGTGGCCTGGCCTCCAGTCTTGCCCTATTGTCAGCCTGTGGCCATGCTTAAGCAAAGCGACTTTTGGGAAGCGCCTGCCTCCTGTGTTAAGCATAGAGACAGAATCGAGCAAGGTAGATACAAGATCAATACACAAAAATCAACCTATTTCTATATGCTTGGAGTGAGCAATCCGAAAATGAAATGAAAACAATTTCAGTTACAATAGCATCGAAAAGAACACAATACTTATGTCAATTTAAGAGAAAAAACGTAAAACTTACACTCTGAAAACTAAAACGTTGAAAAAAATTAGGATCTAAATAAATAAAAAGTCATCTCGTATTCACGGATCACAAGACAATATTGTGAAGACAGCAATACTCCCCAAATAGATCTACAAATTCAGTGCAATCTCTACCTAAATCTTGTCTGACTTCTTAGCAAAAATTCACTAGATGATTCTCAAATTCATATGAAAATGCATAGTATCCAGAATATCCAAAACAATCCTGAAAAAGAAGAACAAAGCCGACTCACTTCTTATTTTCAAAACTTACTACAAGTCTGTAGTAATCAAGAGAGTGTGGTACTGGAGTCAGTATAGCTGTATAGATCAATGAAATAAAATCGAAAGTCCAAAAATAAACCCAGACATTTATGGTCAGTTGGTTTTGGGCGAGGACGCCAAAACAGTTCAATAGGGAAAGCATCTTTGCGGACAACTGGACATCCACGTGCAGAAAGTGAATGTAGCCCTACCTCACAGTGTACCGAAATTAGTTCAAAATGGATCATACACCTAAAACCATAAAACTCTTAGAAGGAAATGTGGGGGTAAATCTTTATGATTTTGAATTAGGCAGTGGTTTCTTAGCTATGACACAGAAGCACAAGCAACAAAAGAAAAAAAAGTGGACGATCAAAATTAAAATTTAGGTGCTTCAAAGGACATCATCAAATATTTGTGAATCATATACCTAATATAAGGCTCTCGTTTCCAGAATATATAAAGAATTCTTACAATTCAACAACAAGAAAAACGCTTTTAAAATGGGCAAAGGGTCTGAACAGGCATTTCACTTAGCATAATAATTTCAGGGTTCATTCACGTTGTATCAGAATTTCATTCCTTTTCAGGGCTGAGTGATATTCTATGCATAGACCATATTTGTTTATGCATTCATCTGTCAGTGGACCCTTGGTTTGCTTCCACTTTGGGGTTATTGTGAATAGTGCTGGTGTGAACCTGGGTGTATAAAATGTCTGTTCAAGTCTCTGCTTTAAATTCTTTTGGGTACATACCCAAAACTGCTGGATCATATGGTAGTTTTGTGTTTACTTCTTTGAAGAAACCCCAAACTGTTTTCCACAGTAGATGTACCATTTTACATTCCCACCAGAAGTGCATGAGGGTTCCAATTTCTCTACCAGTGTTCTGTGCCTACATTTGTCATTTTCTGTTTGTTTGTTTGTTTTTATCATAGCCATCCTAATGGCTGTGATTTAGTATTTTCTAGTCTTGATTTGCATTTCCCCAATGATTAGTGACCTTGAGCATCTTTTTGCGTGTTTATTGGCCACTTGTATATCTTCCTCAGAGAAATGTCTATTCAAGTCCTTGGTCCGCTTTTACTGTTTTATTTCAATTTAGTTTTAATGATGGAAAAAAATATATGACATAAAATTGGCCATCTTGACCATTTTTAGGTGTACAGTTCAGCAGTATTAAGTACACTCACGTTGCTGAGCAACCGTCGGCACTATCCATCTCCAGAACTTTTTCATCTTGCAAAACTGAAACTCTGCACCCTTTAAACGACTTCCCATCCTCCCCTCCCCCCAACCCCTGGCAGCCCCCTTTCTACATTCTGTCTCTGTGAATTTGACCATGCTAGATACTTCATATAAATGGAATAATAGACGCTTCGTCTTTTTATAACTGGCCTATTTAGCTTAGCATAACGTCCTCAATGTTCCTTTTGCCCATTTTCGAATTGGGTTTTTTGTTGTTAAGTTGTAGAAGTTCTTTC